GAACGCACTGTCACATTTGCCTATTTCTAATTGGCAAATGGGACTTTGTGGAAATATTGAGTTTATACAGGTCCAGTGTATTACCGTAAACGTAAAAGGAAGCGCATGGGAAATATGTTAATCAATGGAACTACAAAAACGAGCACCCCAAGGACTTTCCTGACGAGGTTACCATCTTGAATTCAAGGCTTTTATTTTTTCTATATATTTTTCTAAATTCTTTCCGTTTTAATTAAGTCGCTACAGCGTTCTTTTTTCAAGAAGAAATTGTTTAGTTCCAGAGAAGTTGATTCAACCGTAAAATCGACAGACGATCCACTAGATGGCCCCATTGTTGAAACATTATTGAATAGCAATGAATCCCCTAAGATAAATGTTGGTAAGGATGAGTTGGAGCAGATTGTCGACGGCAAACATGAATCTCTGGTTCTTTTTGAAAACGTACGTACTTAATAGCGCATAATCTTATAGAAGTAGCTTTAAGTAAAGCTATTCAGAAAGCAACATCAGAGCCCATTGATTCACGGCTTTCTTGGGTTTCGGATAATAGGAAAACCGAGGTTAGTACGGTTTACTTGCTTAAAGGTTAACTAGAAAAAGTTCTGTAGTTCTGTTTCGCATCCATTCGGGTGGATGACAAGATGAACGTTGCTGCCAATAAGTGCGCGCTATGTGTAGGTGCTTCAATTACCTTTCACCCTACTGTTAAGCATTTTTCGAAGGCAATACTGCATAAGGGTCTAGTAAAGTCTGATCATTTTCTCAACCACCATTGATGAAACTTGGTTTTGAAGCGTTCCCACTTTCTCGCATTATGAAAATTGCGTGTAATTCTTGCGAACGAGTCAATAGCGTTAGCCACTGCACTTCTTTTGTTTTCTCCAAAGTTTCGAAATTAGAATGCAGAAAGCCTTAGTAAATTCCAGATCGGATTTCCTAAATTTTCTTAGTAGTCGTTATCTTGCTTAATCAAAAAATGCAATTTCATAGTTGAAATAGTGATTTCTTTTATATTTTGATGGTAAACGCTTTTTCTTTCGTTAATGATCGACATGGAGAACGAAGCACTATCAGCATTTGCATCTGACATCGCCTAAGAATTTTAGCACTTCACATTTCCCAATCAAAATGCTACTATCAATGTTTGAAAATTATATTGGAGATGTCAGATCGGAACTTTGTAACAATTATATGAGTCAGGTTTCTAACACATCTTTTGAAGTGTAGACAATGGCCGGACTTTCATGTGATCAGACGTGGCCTCCTCAGAAATTTCACAAAATTGATATTTGATAGGCCCACTCTAGCAAGCCCATGACGCGCGACCTAGCAAACTTCCTTACAGCACACGATCACCAATGTTTGCCTTGTATAGATTAACGAATTGACTTTACCTATGAAACCGAAAAGGATTGAAAGCTGCGATCACACACTTGAATAAGCTGAGGACACCTTTTTATTTGATTAAGCGCTTTACAATCATTTTAGGTGCTTCAATTGTTAGAAAGCTCTTGACGATCTAATGGTGCGTTGAGATCTATAAAATTAAATTGACAGATATTAGAATCCAGCGAATAAAAAAACTGAATTCTAGAGCTATTCCCAAAAATATGCTGGTTTGCCATTTCTAAGTAAAGTTCTGCAAAAATTGCAAAATGAATGGCGGTTAGTAATGGAATAGAATGGAAATGAATCTCCATTCTTGTGACAAATTTCTACCGCGATTGTGTAGAGAAACTTTTTACGTGGGGTAGATGCGTCTTTTATTCAGCATACTAATTAGGCTTAATTCTATACAGAACTCGGTGGAATTTTAAAATTCTGAAACAAAAAGCAAATTGGCCAAGTCGATCAAGCAGCAATCTATCGTGAGTGCGCAAACGTACTGTTTTTGCTCGAGGTGCTTTCACTATGAAGGCGGAGAAACCTGCGCAGCACATGCGGTTGGCCATTGGCTGGCGCAAGCTACCATTCATCTTCATTTCCGAGCTTAACTCATTTTTCATTCTCTTTTTTTCCTGAAAGGCAACTTTTTGTATTACTAGTGCTAGTTATGAGCGAAATAAGAATTTTTTTTGTCGTGCTTTGAATGTTCTGTAATAAATTATTAATTACTAATCATTAATTATAATGTATTTCTTCTGCATTCTGAACAATTTCTCGTGGGGCAGGGTAGCATCTAATTAGCTAGGAAAGTAAAAACCTTTCATCTTTTTATCTTTATAAATGAAATCGTAAATTGCTTTAACATTGAGAATTCAGAAAGATAGCAGTTATAAAGGGAATTGAGTACGAGGATTTTTTTTCAAATAATAAATGCTGAAAGTGGCAAAAACTCTTAGGTTGCTAGACGATTATAGGATTGAACTAATCCTGAAATTCGAAAAGGAGGGGGTTGTGAAAGTAAATTGCAAAGGATATTTTTGAAGATATGCAGTTTTTAGGCAAGGGCCTACCATCTTTTCCCATTAATTAAATCTTATTCTTCTTGATTGATGTTTTTATCAGCCAGTGTCTCTATTGGCTGTTCGCATGAATGATTTTCTAAACAATATACCTTTCAGGAATATGGTCCATCGTTCTCCACAGTGGCTTTGCCTATAGAGGACAGCTTTATCACCACTAAAAGCACTACCACTGAAACGACTAGAGCTACAACTTCGACTCCTCCTCTTGCCACAACAGATTCAGAGTTTTCATGGCAAAAACCTTTTCAAGAGTCGATAGACGTGACAATCATCCCTACAATGGCACATGCTGATTGGACAGTGCCTCCAATCGATGAGATTGAAGATATTAGTTTACCCCTCGAACGTACCGATGAAGAGAAGACATCGTCTCTAGACAGCCAAGCGGACAGTGAAGAAACAGAAAGTAGTGGCGAAGAAGAGATAGATGAGGTATTTTATCTTCTGCTAGTAAGGTGTTAGAAATATAAAACTTACTTTTAAGCTTATTCTATAAATTAAGAGTGTATGTGCAACTGTTTTGCACTCTCATACTTTCAGCAAGTGATTTTTTTAAAACCCTTTCCCTACTTGTGTTACATTGTATTCTTTTAAAAGGCAGATTCTTCTGGACGGCAAATATTGAAATGTTGTATGATTTATCAAGGAACTTATCTAGACTTCTACCGAACTGCCGGCAACAATTGAGACAGCCCCGCTGCTTATTGACAATGTGCGGGCGGAAAATCTCATAAATCGAGTGCGAGTTATGGGTACGAAAATGGTGCAAAGGTAAGCTTTCAGTGCTCTAGCCAATCCGAATTAGAGTAATTGTAACCCACGTTGCAGAGATCCGATAGAATTACCGTCTAATGAAGTGCCAAATGAAGTTGATCGTGAAATTCTTCCTCCGCAGAATCATCAAAAGCGTCAAACAGAAATTATGGGAACAAAGATTTTAGAAGAGTTAGTTTTGCTGCAACCACTACTGATAATGGCCGTCCTATGCAACGTAATTCTCAAAGTGCAGTCATTACAGGGAGCCAGAGTTGGTACATGATGAAATAGCATTAAACAAGGAGAACCTGAGTGATGCGTTCTCCGTTCTTAAACTACCCGAAACAGTGAGTTAAAAAGAAGTCTTTATTTCGTAACTACTTTGAGAAGAGTAGCGTTCTACTTTCTTGGCTTCGAACACTTACAACAAAAATTGCAACATATCCAACTTTGCGAACTTTTCAATCCTAAAACTTCCTGCCATTTGATGTTCGCAAGATACAAACAAAATTACTTTTTCCGCTCTTCTCGAAAAAAACGTAAGCAGCTTTTAGACTATTTCTTCAAATTTTCCTTTGACCTATTTCTTTCTTTTAAGAAAAACCTTTGTAACAACTTACAAGACTATTACATAGATAAAAAACAGAAAGAATAGATGCGAAAAAAGATGGATTTCTATAGAGATCGTTTGCTTCATAAAATTCAGTAATTTAACAGCGATCTTAATTCTTAAAATAATGGATCTATGCCACGTAATCAGTAGTGCTCCTTATATTGATGCGTGAGCTCCAGTCGAACGGCACTCCATCTAACATATAGCTGTAGAGAGATTATTTTCTCGTAGAAATTCCATTATTTATTTACTCTTTGTCTCACCATGTGTAATCTCGTTACCTTTCGTTTCCCTATAAAACAGTTCGAGAGAACTCAATGGAAGAAATGCAGAAGTTTACGGACGTGGGTCTCGAGTTTGTATTCGTATGCGCTGTAAAGATAGTTTGTGTACTTGCTTCTTATTGTTTTGTTTCCTACTGGAGAAATATTCTGCCTTTGCTTTTTTACTAGACACTTCGACTCTCACACTGCGAAGTATATTCGTTGTGCTTGGATGAAATGTCTAGGCAAGAGGCTGAATGTCTAAACCAAAACAGAGCAGGTTTTCTGATACCTAGTCTGCCAAGAAGGAGGAGAGGTCTTTGCAATAGGAGGCTATTGTCTGAATACCAGGTGCGATTGTGATTCTTTTTGTTGAATTAAATACATGAATATGGATGAAGGCCATCGATGCCGAGAAGAAGCAACTAGAAGAGACTTTTGGTAGCTGTATCAAGAGTCGCTTAGGACAAAGGATCACAGAAGTAAGGAATAAGCATACTTTGGTCCCTTTCAACTCAATTTCCTTCAGGTGGAACCAATGAAATGTGATGCACATTCACTTCCTCCCACTCTAGGCTCGGAACCATGCCACAGCAAATTACATGTAATAAGACACCATTGTTCTAAGTTAGCACACTGCTGCTCTGATGTACCATTGTGAGTGACATCTCTCGCCTTTTTTGATCTTTGGGTTAATGTAGAGTCAATCGTCAGATGCCGAAACGAAGTGGACCGTTCTGACGCAGCTCGCCAACTTCGCAGGAGAAAAGAGTCGGTAGCTCTAGCTTCAGCAAAATGTCACATTCAGAGCTACAAGGACTACAGAAAGCGGATAAAGTTAAAGAAAGAGAATTATCGACTCCTTTGAACTTTTCAACCGGTTCTTCATCAGTTGCATTTATTGACAGTGCAAATTAGCGGGTCTTTACAGCTGCCGTTTCTTGATTATCATCCGCACTAAGTTATAACGTAATCGATTTTTCTCTTAACTTATTTGTTTCACTTACGTGGTTCGAGACCATAATAATGAATGTCAACAAATTTGTAAAAGTAGCCTCTAGTTGCTTGCGAATGGTCTATAAACAGATATTACCATGTCCAGAATTTTGTTCGTGGATTGAGCGTGCTTTCTTTTCCTCCTATTGTTAGCCTTGAATTTTTGAATAAAAGTTGCATAAACAAATTAGAGAGTTGTATTTGCTCTTTAGAAGTTAGAACTATGTGAAGGGCCGGCAGACTTCGCCTTCATGTGCAGTCGAAATAATGCCTACAATAAGCGCTAATCTATCTTTCTGTCGTTTTCTTGTCTGGATGAGCTAAGTGCAGAGCAGTTAGAAGCTATGATCTCGTCGAGGCTTAGAGCTATAACCATAAGTTAGATACATAAAGCACAGCTCTGGGCGCCTTTACGAATGAGTGAAGAAAGAGTAATATCTGAGAAAATTTGAGTAAGTCAAGGGTCGTGGTAGAGCCCCGAACATTGACTTTTCTACACACTAGAAGTTTGAAGGTTGTGAAATATAGGATCAGTAGGAGAAAATGGCTTTTGCCTTATTGATAACGAAAGATTGAGAGATCCTAGTGCATATGAACTGTGAATACTAGAAAGAATGGTGAGGAGTTTTTTCATGATTGGGTTTAGTTTTGAAGGTAGAAGGTAAAGTTAAAAAGCCAAAGTGTGAGGAATTAGCGCTGAATTCGCTCTAACTATTCCTTTTAAAGCAGTTGATGTCTAAGAACTTCGAAAGGCATGCATAGTTGGAAGTTATAGTTATCATGATTCAAAATTGAACTATAGAAGCATCCACGTCAAGTAGCTCTAAGTAGTGAGAATTAAGAGAAAAAAACAATAATTCGTACGATGAATGCATGAAGTTTGCGCTGTTGTCAGCTCAGACCTCTGCGGCAGGTCTTCGGAGGGGAAGCTAGAATTTCTTTTTGCAAAAAAAAGCAAAGAGGAAATTGTATGGGGTCCAGGATAAAGCCTGGATTTTATTCCCAATATGTCACTTCAACAAAAATATTAAAGCTCCTCTCCTTCCTAACGGGGATGTTTACGCTTGAGGTCTAAATATTCTTGTCTTATTCAATACACAACTACAATAATTTCATGCGCACTCTATGACCGTTCAGAAATCTGCGCCTCTATGTTTGTTTCAGTGCCCGCGTTTGCGCAGGATGACTTTTTTCCTAAGCGAATAGGCAATGAAGCCACCAAAATTGGCGCAAAGAAGCGGAACAAACAGTAGAAGATGTGTTTGAAAAGTCTTTGAAAAACGATGAGTGGAAAAATCGCTGTGATCCCTTTTTGTGGAGGTCTCCGGGGGAGACCTACTGGAGACCACACGTCCCGATTAACAAATACTTATTTGTTTCTCATAATTTTGTTTCTTTTATCAGACACATTCCCCTTGATCCAACTTATAGCCAGAATAATAACCAGAACAAAGCACTTTCTCTTAATTCACAGGTCCTAAATCGTTTTGCTTCGGTGAGAAAGAAAGGCTCCAAGTAAACTGCACTACAGTGCTTGTCCTGCTTGCACGTTTTTCTACAGGTTACAAAGGAGGCTTTGTAATTCCCCAGATTTTCAAGTGGGTATTCGTTGTCGTGATGTTTGATCGGAAACCTCGCTTGTGTCAGCTGGATTCTCCGCACGACACTAAGCAGAATGATATATGGATGTTGAGGGTTACATTGAACGCCGAGATAATCAACAAAGCCAAATGCCCCGTCATCTCTGGTTGCAGCCCCTCTCAAAAGTGCCCACTCTCCATACAACCAAGCGTCTTCCACGGTACATTTAGCCCTGATGTTCTTTTCTCCGTTATTTGCAAACTGTGACGTCTATTCGGAGAGGTTTGCGCTTTTATATACCAAAAATTCGAATTTCTTAGCAGCTTAATGTCTCTTAATTTAATTGAAAACCATCACATGTACCCTTCTGCAAATGTTTAAAGGTTTGATCTCACCTTTTAAGGCTGTATCAAAAGAAAAGGTCACAGAGGCTTTTGAACCAAACGCTGTGCCTGTACACAGAAAGCAAAACGTTTTCACAACAAAATTGCTCAAGTTTGCTTGTGTTTCGCAGTTAGAAGATA